TAAAGGAATTTTATTTATATATCAGAAGTTTGGGATTTAAACTTAAGTTTATTTGACTTCAAAGCTGCATTCTTTTTCTACGTTATTATGCTTATCCAGTAATACTAATAACCAATATTTGCTGCACCATTGTCATCTCACAAATCTTTATATAGTTTTACTATGGGGCAGGCTGTGTTCTAACCACTTCACACACATTATCTCATTTAAGCCTGTGAAGTAAGTTCTACAATCATCCTGACTGCAAAGATGAGGACACAGGGTCAGGAACATTAATTAAAAGCTCACCCATACATTGTATATTGACAAAATAAAAATTTAATGGAAAAAAAAAAAAAAGCTCACCCAGCGGTCTAGCTCCGGTCTCCATCTTCTAACTTCAGCCTTACACTTGCACAATGCTTTATAAGTTACAAAGTTATTTTATTTACATTAATATTGGTTAGTCCTACACGTCAGGTGCTTTTATTATCAGCATCTTACAGATAAGAAAATTGATACTCAGAAAGGATAAACAATTCTCTAAGTGAAAATAGCCCACAGGACTAGACTCCAACAAGGGCATTCTCAGCCCAAATTTCTTGCTGCCAAATAGTAAACTGAGTTGAAATATTAACCAGAGAATGTGTCAGGACCAATACATAACCCTGTTAAAAGACACATTGCTGAAAACTTCAAGGGAGCCTATTAATGGGGACTTTCAGATATTGTCAAGATCAGAAAGGAAGTGGTTTTGATCAGTTTTCTAGGGTTCCTCACATGTAGGCAGTCCCTTACACATGTTCTGATCTACTTCGGATGGATGTAAATGTTTATGAAATATCTATCAACTCTTTTTAAAATTTTTAATATGAGAGGTTCAAATATAAAAATATCTGAGAGGTTGGTGGACAGTTCTTTCTTCTAATATTAGGCAAAACATAAGAACAATCCTCTTGTAGGATGGGAGCTTGGAAATTGAGCCCAATATTTATTATTAGAAGACTCTCAAAGTAATATTGTTTATATATTTCTCTGATAAATTACAGTTTCAATAATATAAGGCATATATAATCTCCGTTTTCTTTGAAAAGTTTGGTATCATGCTGGGTATTTTCAATTACATTCCTTACAGGTGAAACACAATTTATTAAGTTCCTGCTCTCTATGGAAAATATTCCTGGCTTGTCTCTTAGCCTGTGTCATTACAACGATAATTGGAGTACTCATCGTGTGCCTGGTGTATAAAGGGGGAAATAACACCGGTCCAGTCATTGTCTACATACCTTCAAATGAACCTACAGGGACCACTACTACTACTAGTATAGCCACAACGAGCACAGAAGCCTCCTCCACTACAGCCAACCCTACTACTACAACAGCTGACACCACCACGCCAACTGAACAAACAGCCACATCCACCACTACGTCAACTCTATCAACAACTAGCATCTCTTCACCTACATCAACAGCCAGCCACAACGAGCACAGAAGCCTCCTCCACTACAGCCAACCCTACTACTACAACAGCTGACACCACCACACCAACTGAACAAACGGCCACATCCACCACTACGTCAACTCTATCAACAACTAGCATCTCTTCACCTACATCAACAGCCTCCACACTTTCTACTGAACTTACAAGCATAACAGCCACCACTACTCCCACTGCAAGTACATCAGTTGCTACAATAACCACCAGTACAGTAACTGAACCTGCCTCTAGTTCCGCTGCAACTTAATCTATAACCACAAATAGAAACAATGACTTCACCTTTACCTAATACCACAAAGATTTCTAACTCTACCACCTTCCCTGGACCCACTACCTAACATTAACCCCTTCAATTGAACACACAGCCACATAAACATAAATTAAATCTACAAATATACCACTTATGTGGAAACTGCATTAGCCACTTTAAGAATCTATAACTACTGCAACTTCTCCTGAATGTACAATCGTAACAGCTACCACCACCACCACCCCTATTTCAACTGAACCTATCACACAGAACACCAACCACACTTCAACCACACCTGTTACCAGTCTCTACTACCACCACATCAACTGAAATGACAGTCCTAACAACCACTGTATATCAATCGAATCCATGATTAGAACTGTGTCAACAGAAAAAAACACTTGCACTGAACCCACAACTGTTACTGATTCAATTGAAACTACAGCTACCAGAGGAATCACCTGTTTCATCTGAACCAACAACCACCAACAGTGGGATCTACAGGCACAAAAGGCATCATGGAAATGTACTGCCACAGTGGCTGCCACTATCATATCAACTGAACGTAGTATCACCAGTTATCACTAGGCCAACTGAAACTGCAACTAACATCACTTCACTTAAAACTGTAACTACCATAAATCTACTGAGCTGGTAACCATAACAGCCACCAAAACTTCAAATGGAGCCTACAAATGTCAGTTTCTACAGAACTGACAACCACAATATTCATGACAACTCCTTCAACTGAACCAATGACGACAGCGTTCAACATGGCTTCAACTGGACTAAAAATCACCGTAATATCTGCTGAAAATATGACCATATAACATCAAAAACAATAATGAAAGAAGCCCCTTTAACTAAACCTACAACCACAATAGCCACCAGCACTTCAATTAAATTATTGTCATAATAGCTGGCATTGCCACTTAGGTGAAACCAATACCCAATTACTGCAATTTCTATTACCACAATAGCTATCACCACTTCAAACAAGGTTACACCCACAGCAGAAAACACTATTTCAGCTGACCCTACAACCACATTAAGGCACACCGCTTCAGCTAAATCCATAACCACAGTAACTTCTACTTCTACTACTACACAGCTATCATTATTACCACCATTTCAATTCATTTCTATTCCTAGTACTTCTAGTGAACCTTCTATTTACCACCAGATCAGCTAAAATGCAACTACCACAATGTCCACTGAATCTGCACTATCATGTCAAATTAAGCTACAACCACCACTTTAACTGAGCCTGCAGTTTCCACAGTTACCACTGTTTCAACTGAACATGCACTCACAATAGGAACTAGCACATTTGCGGAGACTACTACCAGCACAACCACTAACCTCACTCCTGTTGAATCTACTCATGTCAGTGCTAATGCCTCTGTCCTCACAGAAACCACACCACCACAGTGGCCTGCAGAGCAATGCCATCTTTAGTTACTGTCTTGATTTTGTTACCTCTAATCATCCCCACAGCTGCTCATACCTAAAATTTGAATCTGCAAATGTTATCACAGGTGATTTGTTTGGCCAACAGCAATACTTCATCAGAGCATGTAGCAATGACATTAAAACTACTCCAATGATAACAATTTAGTCCATTATCAATGTACCAGTGCTACAACACCCAGATCTGCCTCCTTTGTCTTCTGTATTTATCAGATCTCCATTGTATTAGGACTGATATTTTACTTTGTAACAGTCTGACTTTTCTAAAATTTCAGGTCATGTAATTTTCTTAAAAAAAAAAAAAATCTAGAAAGCATTCGCCAAGCAGTTTGATGAAATGTCACAGAGAAATCCATATTAATATTTGTTGGAATTCATCACCAACATTATTTTTGTTTCTATAAAATTAAGTGATCCATCAGTGGGAATGCAGTCTTTTACTGTTCAGAACATTTTGTTCTTTAGTACAAGAATTGAATCAATATATTATGTGAGTGTGTTAAATAAACTTACATAGAATTGTTTTTAAGTACCACATTTTGTTTTCTTTATGTGTAAAATTATTTTATTTTCAGTATTTTTCTTCAGATTATTTTGCCGTTTAGCTCCACAATATCTAGAGGAATTATTTGCTACTCTTTATGTATGAAAATGCAGAAGAAGTAACAATGCAGAAATAATTCCTAAAATTATCAATTTGAGCATCCTTTGTTTAGAATTACCAGGTAATAAGGAGGTTTAAATTAATTTTGATATTGCTTGGGCTTTACCCAGGCCTACTGTATCACAACCAACAGGAGTGGGCCAGGAATGTATATTTATAAATTCCTTCACAGTTGATTGTAATGCACAGCCAGGTGTAGGAATCATGGGTACAATCGATAAACCAAGAAAAGCGTTCTGACATGTTATATCTTACTGGTTGTTTTGGTGAAATTGATAAAAATTATAAAATATTTATTTTTTAGTTAAAAAAACATTAGCATTAATATATGCACATTTCTGGGGTACAGAATGTTGTTTCAATACATGCATATACTGCACAATTATTCATTTAGGGTGGACAGCATAGGTTTGTACCTGTTAGTCCACCCCTTCCCCACCCTTTCCCCCTACAAACCTTCCAGCCTGTGGTAATCATTATTCTACTCTCTACTTCTATGAGAACCAGAAAAACTTTTTTTTTTTTTTAATTCCACATAATGAGTGAGATCATGTGGTATTTGTCTTTCTGTGCCTGGCTTACTTCACTTAACATGATAGTCTCCAGTACCATCTATGTTGCCTGCAAATAATAGGATTTCATTTTTTTTTTTGAAAGCTGAATAGTATTTCATTGTGTATATTACCACAGTTTTTAAAAAATCCATTTGTCTGTTGAGAGGCATTTAGGTTGATTCCATCTCTTGGCTATTGTGAAGTGTTGCAATGAATGTGGGAATGCAGGTGTCTCTTCCATACATGATTTAATTTCCTTTGGATATACACTCGGTGGTGGGATTGCTGGGTCAGAAGGTAGTTCTATTTTAAGTTCTCTGAGGTATTTCTGTTTTCCACAATGGCTGTACCAATTTACATTCTTACCAACACTGTAGGAGAGTTTGTTCTTTTCCCAATCCTCACTAGCATTTGTTATTTTCTGACTTGCTGATAATGGTCATTCTAACTGGAGTGCGGTGATATCTCATTGGGGTTCTAGTTTGCATTTCTCCGATGATAGTGGTTTTGAGCATTTTTTCATGTGTCTTTTGGCCATTTGCATGTCTTCTTTTGAAAAATGTCTGTTCAGGTCCAGTGCCCATTTTAAAATTGGGCTACTTTTTTTTTGCTGTTGAATTGCTTGAGTTCTTTATATATTCTGGATATAAGTACCTTGTCTGATGTGTAGTTTGCAAACACTTTCTCCTATTCCATAGGTTATCCCTTCACTTTGTTGATTGTGTCCCTTCCTGTGCAGACACTTTTTAGTTTGTTGTAGTTCCATTTGTCTATTTTTGCTTTAGTTGCCTGTGCCTTTATAGTCTTGTTCAAAAAAGCCCTGCCCACATTCTCATTTCGTGTAGTGCTTCCCTTATGTTATCTTTTAGTTGTTTCATGGTTTTGGGTCTTACATGTAGGTCTTTAATCCATTTTGAGTTGATTTTTGTGTATGGTGAGATATAGGCATCTAGGTTTAGTCTTCTGCATGTGGATATCCAGTTTTCCCCGTACCATTTATTGAAGAGGCTGTCCTTTCCCCATTGTATATTCTTGGAAACTTTGTCAAAAATCGGTTGGCTAGGGCCGGCCCGGTGGCACACTGCTACAGTGTGCCACTTGGGAGCGTGGCGGCGCTCCCACCGAGGGTTCGGATCCCACATACAGACCGGTTCCCGCTCACTGGCTGAGCGAGGTGCGGGCGCAGCACCAAGGTTTGCGATCCTGTTGCTGGTCCCGGTCCGGTACGGGCGCGACACTGAGGGTTGCGATCCGTTGCCAGACACGGAAAAAGACAAAAAGCAAAAAAAAAAAAATCGGTTGGCTATAAGTGTGTGGGTTTATTTTCTGGGCTCTCTATTCTGTTCAGCTGGTTCATTTGTCTGTTTTTTTTTTGTTGTTGTTGTTGTTTTGTTTGTTTGTTTGCTTTTGCCAGTACCATGCTGTTTTGGTGTACTTAATTTATTAGCGAGTTATATATCTCCAAACGTTTTCTTGCTACTCTTCAGTGTCATTTTCTCTCAAAATGAAGAACTACCTTCAGCATTCCTTGCAAGGCAAATCTCGTGTTGATGAATTCCCTTACGTTTTGTTTATTTGGGAAGGACTTTATTCCTCCTTCATATTTGAAGGTTAATTTTACCAGATACAGAATTCTTGGTTGACAGTCTTTTTCCTTCCGCACTTTGAATATATCATCCCACTCTCTTCTGGCTTGTAGGATTTCTAATGGGACACCTGCTGAGAGATGTGTTGTGGCTCTGTTGAAGGTTACGTGTTTCTTTTCTCTTGCTACTTTTAGTATTCTTTCTTTGTCTTTGTCTTTTGATAATCTGATTATGATGTTCCTTGGGGCATTCCTTTTTGGATTGAATTTGATTGGTGATGTCTGAGTTTCATGAACCTGGATGCGGTCATCTTTCTCCATACTTGGGAAATTTTCCGTCATTATTTCCTTGAACGTGCTTTCCAGGTCTCTTCCTTTTCCATTTCCTTTCAGTTCATCCATTATTTAGAGGTTATTTTGCTTGTAGGAGTCCTATATTTGCCGCATTTCTGTGTCATTTTTCCTTATTCCTTTTTTTTTCTCCTCCGATTGGATAATTTCATTTGTTTTGTC